ACAATTGCAATGTGTGAAAAGAATTTAAGCCCAAGACTCAATGTATTGTAGCTGCTTCATTCCACTCAGGCGTTGTTTCCTAAACTTTGGTTTGGAAACAACACTTTCATGGTTTGATTCAGCAAACAATGCACGGAGTCCAGGGCTTAAATCCTTAAATGAATCCAATATATAACGTGTATTGTACTGTACATTCTGGTTTATAACCAGGCACTCTTTACGGTCTAACGCATGTGGGATATTAGGCTGTAGAACCCTAATATTTAGAGTGGAATGAAATGTATGGATGATCAATCATTTGAAACAAGTAGAAAACATGGTATGTTATAACATATAAACTAAAGGAGTGGCATTCCTTTAAATTGTCTCAGCTTCTAAACAACTCCCCCATCTTCAAAATTTTGCTGCATGCAGCATGAGAAGCTCAAAATATACTTCTCATATGGACATAGTAAAGGTATTATTTTTTATTTAAGGTGAACAAAATTATAATCGTTATTTACGTTATTTATTTTCATGAATTTTAACACCAGAGTAGGTTGAGCCAGTTTACATATGTCGGAACATAACCGAATAGTAGATTGACCTAGTAAATTAAAATGATTCAATTGATGTTAAAAATGGAATTAAGTTTATCAATAAATATCGAATTGTATAAGCGTCGTGATGTTTTTGCTAGCTCAAAGATTTTATATGATGTAATAACATTTGTGTGGCAGAATTCTAATAAAATAATGTGAATAGAATCCTAATAACTTCATTAGTTTGTTGATTGGTCATTGTGTTAAACGGAGATTTTTTAAGATTAATTCCTGAATTTCCAATAGCGGAAATTCACATTTCTTGCTCGGTTTCCCGTTCTATTGCAATATTTCATAATACAAAGAATGCCTTCTCTTCAAGTATTAATATTCTATTATGAATTTCTTTATGTTATACATTAACGTTATCAGATTTATATGGGCTTATCATGCAGCTGACGTTTACTTTTATGGAGGTTTGAAAAAAATATCGTATACATTAATGATCATGAATAAGATTGAATAGGTTTAGGAAATTACGTCTGTTAATACACCACATTGATATATCACTTAACAAACACGATATCTTACTTAAAATATTCTAATATGAATTTATATCTGATTCTCAACCATATAATAAATATATTTGTATAATTTGCATAAAAATATTCAAGAGCGTGGAAAGTGACATAACTACATGTTGAGGATCGGTTGAATAAGGTTTTTGAGGGGAGGGATAGGACTTTCATCTATAGACTTATAAGTGTAATAATATCTCCTCCGATAGTTTAGATAAATGATACGTCCTCCAAAAACATCACGTACAACATGCAGATCCAAGGAAGCGAAACATTAGAGAAGTAAAGTATTTTGTATTTGCAAATTGCAGGAAGATCATGGACGGACAACCTTCATCAACATGTCCAACATCAATTCGTTTACAGTCTCCCATACGGCAATACCCAACATTAGTATTGATTCGATCTTTCTCTTCATAAGCGACAGGCATCACTGGTGATCCACTCGATTACGCTGGTTACCAAAACGAACCGTTTTGGTAACAAAATGTCGGAACGTCGAAGGCACGATTTTTCTTTTTTCCTTATTTCACGCGTTGTAGGCAGAATCCTCACGACGTTTTTTCTCACAACGTGCATCAGTATCATATGTTTTAGAAAATGTACATGTTTGCGATAAAATAGCTCAGAGGACAACAGAATCGTCGATTTACTTCCTCACTTAAGTTACATAAACGGTTTTTCGAAAAACAGTTAAGATCTGCACTTTTAACCCAAACCGTTTATGTAACTTAAGTGAGGAAGTAAATCGACGATTCTGTTGTCTTCTGAACTATTTGTTCGCAAATATTGTCCATTTTCTCAAACATATGATACTAATACACGTTTGTGTTAAAAAATGTCGTGGGAATTCTGCCTTCAACGTGTAAAATAAGGAAACGAGAAAAATCGTACCTTCCGGATGTTCCGACATTTTGTTACCAAAACGGTTCGTTTTGGTAACCAGCGTAATCGAGTGGATCACCAGTGAGGCATGAGTTAAGCAATAAACGACATCTATGTAACCACCAATGGTCTAAATTAATGTTCTACAAAGATGTTTCACGATCAACAGTGTTGTTATGACCATCATAGATGTCATGGTGGTTCAGTTGCATGACAACCATCGTATCAGAGAAACTGCGCCCAGGTTCCCGTGATAAACTGTGTTGAGATCTCATGGAATAACTGCGATTTCCGCTCAAATCTCGAACAGGTGACACGTGCGATGTGACATCATCGAGGAAACTCCCAACGTGAATACTATGCGATAATCTGATAGGTTGTCTTGCTGATGGATTAAGATGACTTTCGTTGAGATCACGGACTGTATTGTTTTGATTTATACTGTCCTCAAGGCAAGCTCTCGTATTATTTGGCTGATAATCCACTACCTTGACGCTATGGTTCGTTTTTCGCCACAGCAGCCACACTCGAACATGGTACCGACATGCTATCTGAAAGTATTAAATCAGCGAAAATGTTACAAACAGCACAAGGGATTTCTTAGTAACTATGTAAACAATAAATAAATGTACATTTGTACAAACGTGTCGAAAATTATTACTGGAAAATGGTATCCAGAAACAATACAGAATTACACGAAAAATTAACAACTAGGCTACGTCTGACAAACGAATACTTGATCAATCGAGTAAAATGTTTGCATAAGAAACGAATACAAAATTCTTACCGTGCACCAGATACAATAAACAATCAAAAGAAATACTGTTAGACACAAGAGGCCAACTGATTCCCATCGTCCACTCAACGGTCCATAATACATTGCCCCCGTGACGCAAAGCCAAGAGCTGACAGCGGCAAGTGGCGTGAGCAGAAGGAAACAGACCAGATCCCCGAGCATGTTGCGTTGGTCTGTCATATAGGTCGGACGGCGCAACCACTAAAACACAAAATTGTTCAAAAAAAAAACATTGACATTTTTCCAGCAAAACAACGGTATAGTTAATATATATCCTAATCCATCTTTCAGAGAAATATGAGCAAACTTTACTCACGTCAAAGAAGGGTTTCGGTTGCCTTTCAGTTATGTATTCAAAATTGCAGATCTCGCATTTATTCGTGTTTGATGAGCCTAGCCATTTCTCGATGCACGAGCGGTGCATTAGCCCCATTGTGCCAGCACATTTACACGGTGAGATTAGCTCCTCGATATTCCCCCCTTCGTAACATATTCGACACGCTAATGTAGTGTTGCTGAATATGCTGAAAATAGAAATAGAACTAGACTTTGGAAATTGAACAAGTTCAATTTCAGACTCCAGATTTAGACTTTTAAGGCTGAGTCATCCACAATAAGCCGAGTCATCAAGAATAAGCCAAGTCATCCAGAATAAGCTGAGTCATCCAGCATAAGCCGAGTCATCCAGAATAAGCAGGTGGATGGCTGGACTGATGGATGAATGGATGGATTGATAGGAGGAAGGATAGGACAGAATAGGAAGGAAGGATAGGATAGAATAGGAAGAAAGGATAGGATAGTATAGGGTATGAAGGATAGAATAGGATACGATAGAATCCGAAGAAAGAATAAGATAGGACAGAATAGGAAGGATAGGATAGGATAGGAAGGATAGGAAAGAAGGATAGGATTGGATGGGATAGGTGGGATGGATATAGCCGAGTATTCCAGAATAAGCCAAGTCATCCAGAATAAGCTGAGTCATCCAGAATAAGCCGAGTCAACCATAATAAGCCGATGGATGGATGGATTGATGGATGAATGGATGGATTGATAGAATAGGAAGGATAGGACAGAATAGTGAGGAAGGATAGGATAGAATAGGAAGGATAGGATAGTATAGGATAGGATAGGAAGGATAGAATAGTATACGATAGAATCCAAAGAAAGAATAAGATAGGACAGAATAGGAAGGGTAGGATAGGATAGGAAGGAAGGATAGGATAGGAAGGATAGGAAAGAAGGATAGGATTGGATAGGATAGGTGGGATGGATATTATAGTCGAGTCATCCAAAATAGCCAAGTCATCCAGAATAGGCTGAGTCATCCAGAATAAGCCGAGTCATCCAGAATAAGCCGATGGATGGATGGATTGATGGATGAATGGATGAATTCATAGGATAGGAAGGATAGGACAGAATAGGAAGAACGGATAGGATAGAATAGGACAGGAAGGATAGAATAGGATATGATAGAATCCGTAGAAAGAATAAGATAGGACAGAATAGGAAGGATGGAATAGGAAGGAAAGAAGGAAGGACGGATAGATAGGAAGGATAGGAAAGAAGGATATGATTGAATAGGATAGGTGGGATGGATATAGCCGAGTCGTCCAGAATAAGCCAAGTCGTCCAGTCCTATCCTTCTTTCCTATCCTTCTTATCCTATCCTTCCTTCCTATCCTATCCTATCATATCCTTCCTTCCAGAATAGGAAGGAAGGACAGGATAGAATAGGAAGAAACGATAGGATAGTATAGGATAGGAAGGATAGGATAGAATAGGAAGGATAGGAAAGAAGGATAGGATTGGATAAGATATAGGATAGGATATAGGATAGGATATAGATTAGGAAGGAAGGATAGGATAGGAAGGAAGGATAGATAGGAAGGATATGATCAGACAGGATAGGAAGGAAGGATGGATGATTTTTTCTATATTTTCTTCGCTACTCTTGACTTTCTATAAGGATATCATCAGATCAATTTTTCTCGAAATTTCAAAACGCCATAACTTTCGAACCGAAAGTCGGATCGAAATTTGGTTTGCAGATTCGGATTCCTGAGTAAATTCTACCCTTAATTCATAACTCAGATGTTAAATTTGGAGAACTTTTCATTTTGACCTACTTTCTGGACGCCATATTTCAAAATCGGTAAGCGTAATCAAAAATCTAATGTCATATCTTTGCTTTGGCTTTTTCTAAGCTACATGATAAAAAAGATTTAGGAGTTACGATAAACAATGACGAAGATAAATGACAGAATGTTGAAAATGTAAGATTTGACCTAGTTCTTGACCTTTGACCTAGATAAAAATTTGACCCAATTTCCGAGGAACTAGATACTGGACATAAATTGACTAAATAATGATCTTTATTGGAAGCCTTATGGTTATCGAGAAAACTGGGAAAGAATAATAAAGAATAAAAAGAAGAAGAAGAATACTGAAAAAAACAATAGACTCCAGATTGACATCTGGAGTCTAATAATATTATAACATTTTGTCACAAGTCTTTGTCGTCTGTTCCCTTAAGTCAGATTCATAAATAGGTACTATCAGTTTCAAAAATACATTCTGTCGCACATATTCATACCTCAAGAAATTAAAGGTGCATTATGCCATAGGTTTCTCCGACAGACAATCAATGATGTCCTATTGTTATTGCTCATATAATATATAAAACTCAATATGCAAAAAAGTCCAGATGGGTCTTGATTGTGCTATCCTATGGCATAGAGCCTCTTTAAGTGCTCTATTTTCTCCGTCCTAGAAAGTACAAATATAGTGGAATTTGTGTCCATAATGAACATTGGGATCTTTAAAAATTTGATTTGATTTCCACTTTCCTTGAAAATAATTGTGCATAGCCTCAAAAACAATTCTATCACAATCCGTTTATTCCGGTAGTTATAATTTATAGGGATATATATTCTAGCAGTGTGGAAGTGTTTGGCACATTAAATGTTCGAATTCTGAGCAGACTGTGCCAAAAATCTCAGGTTTCTTTTATTAATGAATCTGACTGGAGACACATTGACTAATGCCTTGGTCACATTTGCTTCGATTTTCACTACGGCGCCCGGCCGATTCAGTATTTTGTTCAAAATTGAATACAATATTGAGCAAAACACTCAATCGGCCAGGCGCCGGCCGATGGATCGGAGCAAATGTGACCCAGGTATTAATGAGCTACTAGATCCTCAAAATAAGCTATTACTATCAAAATGAGTTATAACTATAAAACATATCAAAGTATAGCAACTGTTATCTAACCTCATTAAACTCTTTCTTGCGTGGCTTCTTGACATCCGTTTGAATTCCTCCAATTTGAAAGGAGTACTTGAACAGCTAGGGCCCGAAGCATTTGTGCTTGTTTGAGATAAAGGACTGATTGGGTCTTTTGGGGATGTTCGGCTCGTCAGACTTCTCGGGGAGATGTGACAACTTTTGCTCCTTGGCGATTGAAGTAGTGAAGCTGATGAAGAAGAATGAATACGTGCTGGTGAATGTGAAGTAGCACTAACTGATCCTTTTGGCAAAGGGGATTGTTTTGCCAACCGTTCTCCATGAGGAGTAAAATAGCGATTCATTGAGGAGGCACCATGGCAAGGATCTGTGGTATTCGAGGATGCATGCTCCTCATCGATGTGATCAACATCTAATGGGATTTCACGTAACTCCGATCGTATGAAATAGTCAACATTCATGGACTGTATAGGGGGATATTGTCGATCTTTGTCACCAGCCTCATGTTTCGTTGAAATAAACGGTTCTGTTACGTCTTCTGTATGTCCAAATACGTCCTGTAAACACACGCACACTATTCTTTACATGTAATTGGTTACGGAGATTGGTACTAGCCTACTAAAAAAGTAAATGATAATATTCCAGGATGAGAAAAATAACCTTAATTCACTTGAATACAGAGTAGGCCACTCAAAAATATTTAAACCTTGCGCCATCATTGTGCAGAATGACAGTCAATGAGATCAGATACATATTCATGATTGCTGCAAAAACTTTCGTCAGTGATTTTTTATAGAAAAGTTGGTAATTAATGTTCTTATAAATGACGTTCAAAAAGTTCACATTGAAGGACAAGAAAATTAAGATAAACTTACATCGTTTACGTGGATGCTGAGATCCTCATTTCTTGCCATCGCGTGCTGGATACTACTGGTACCTCCAACATAGACTGAATCCGTTGGTCGAATGTTTATTGTTTACGTGTAGATGTGTGTACGAATAGCGAATGCCATTCAAAGCAATGATATAATGAGATTATGGTTTGAAAACCGCAAACTCGATGAAGCATATAATTGCGCGAATAGGTGGCGTCAAAAATAAACACCAATTATGACGTTGGGAGGACAATCCGATCTCCGATGTCAAGGTCAACCAGGATACTGATCCATTTTAGTGTTTGATCTCATACTTTACAAGCATTTCATAATTTACAAGCAATCCAACATATACAAATGTCATTCGTTGGTACCAGGAATCGGGTTTTATCAATTCAATAACCAGACGCTTGATGTGTAATTCAATATTCTATACTAATATAATACTTTCCTATCTCAATTCAATTGTTTTGATAGTACACTAATAACAATGCTATAATGGCTTAAAAGAGTATATTACATAATTTGGTTTATCTTAAATATTTGTTCATCACAAATAAGTTGCTCTTAATATAATTGTATTTCATGCTTATTTATTTGACATGCTTTGTCATACCTCAATAAATATATTCCATCAAATAAAGCAACCATTTCGAACCAGTTATTCAATATTTTTAATTACTTCCCTGGAGGATGAAATTACAAAAAATAATCAAGTCGAAATTACACCATCATTTATGACACTCAGAAATTGTCCATAGATTGGTACACTTTCCCTTTAAAGGTTTGACAACTAGAAGACCTCATTGATAAGCGTGTTAAAACCTATTTACATTTTGTTGAAATCACGTGGTCAAAAAGGAAACATTCGATTGCCAAACCTTTAGAGGGGACTGTACAATTACCGAATTCAATAATTACGAGTTTTTCATTAAAGACCTTGAAAATCTAGAAAGAGCTATAAAAGTTTTTGACCTCTAATATCTAAAATCTGGTGCGAAAGTAAAATAGATAGGCAATTGCTAATATATGTAGAACCTTTAAAAATGCATACCCTGAGTTTCACTCAAATCTAGTAAAAAACAGAAACTCCGTTGAATAGCAAATCCCACCGCACAAAAATGTTTTATCTAGTCTATTAGACTGGATGCGAATAGAAGTAATCTTGATTTACGTCATTAAATATTCAAAATTCAATCAAAGTGATGTCATATTTGAAATCTACATGTAAAAGCACATCTAGTAAAATGGTTTCGAAAATTGTTTATCAACTTCGAAAATTTAAATTTTTTTGAAAATGTGACTTCTAGTTGGGTTGAATCCTCATAGACCCCATGTTACAAAATTACAAAAAGTGAAATATCTTTTCTTGTATTGGACATATAACATTTTCTTTTACTGGACATATTTTTATTTGCATAACTATTAGATACATAAGGGTTATATAAAAATTGAACCACTAAAACAGATGTAATTTAAGTTAAAGGGAACTTTCTACTATACCCGCCATGTTATCTGACCCGAACGAGCCATCTAGTGGCGAAACTGGTAACTACCTACTCGCATAACTCAATAACGCAATAACTCGTCAATTTGAACTTAACAAGGTAGAAATAACCAGTCAATGTTGTTCTAGTTGTAACCTCTCCATTTGGTAAAATCTACACCCATGTGACATGTTGTCATATTACAAATTCCTTCTTGAGTAGAGGCCCTTAGCCACGAGGCATGCATTTAGCCTAGACAATTTTGACCGTAATTTGTATAATCATGAAATTATTTCTCATCGAAAATGGAAGCCATTTTGAATTAATAGCAACCACCTTCCTCCTTGAGTCTATAAGGCACAAGCACATGGAATTTTAACCAACTCTGACAATTGATATTGTTATCAAAAACAATTTTCATGAAAAATGGTTGCCAATTTGAGTTCAGCAACCATATTGAAAATTATTTTTTGAGCAAAGTTCTTTGTCTCTAAGGTATCGGTATATTAAAGAACCAATTCCCTTGACTGGTATATTGTTTATTGTATCATTCTTTATTTCCCGTATCTCATCAGAGATACAGTTTTACATATAAAATATCAGATCTAATTATAAATACATGGAAAAAACAAAGAATAAAAAGAAAAAGAGTTTTTACATATTTTTCTAAAGAGACTTTGAACAAATTCAAGTTTTTGCGCTACTGTTATGATATAGTTTTCGTGTGTTGATTCATCTAAATTAAATAGCTCATCAGTGGAACTGCCAAGCAAGGCCTTTATAAAAACAGCAGTGTCTGAATCTAAAAGTTCACTGGTATTTGAGTTATCGAAGATAAAATAGAAAAAATGAACCTAATCTGTCAACCGGTATTTGAGTTATCGTCCGGATAGACAAATGAACAGACAGACGGCTTCTCTATTGACCATTCGAGCAATAAATAAGCTCGATGAATACATGGGCATTAAAGGCAGAATCAGATCCATAGGGGGTGACAAAATTACAGGCAACATGTACGATTGACCTTCCAATCTATTCATTACAATGCCAAATACAATATCTCCGAAAAGATTCACGATATGTTATAAATTGGTTAAGTTATTAATGATTCAAAGTGCAAAAATGGATGAGAAATGTTTAAATTCTCCCAAATAATAAGAATGGTAACCATTCTTATAGAAAAATAATACATTTTTGTAAAAATCTTTAGTTTTCCTGGAATAAAGTATGCACTTTTGTGATTTTTAGAAAATATACATGACAAGGAATGACATGAGCCAAAAATATTCTAAAATTGAAACAATTTTTTGTTTAGTCTGCTCGCTATATCTGATTCTCTCTTTAATGACAATAGTTTATAAGGCCTTAAAAATAACAATGAAGGATCAAGTAAGAGGAGGAAACACATATTTCGCAAACAAAAATAACAATACGTTAAATGGCGAGGCAAATCCGTCTGATCGATATCAATAATCCAGTGATCGAGGCTTTTAAATCAAATGACATTCCATGAATACTAATTGACCAAGGGAAGTAATAAAGGCAAAAAGGAATAAATATGATAAAATGTCACTACTTGGTAAGTAATTAAATGCAAACATTAGAGAGATTTCGCACCTAGTGAAAGTACAACTTATAACGTATACTTATACTTATAGGTAAATGTACAAGGTGTTTCATAATGTGGGCTTTTCGTCAGGAAAGATCTTCTCGAACTATAATAAATACACGTCAAAGGGATGCCATTTGTACTTTCTTGAATTGTAGCATGTTTAGTTGATCCAAATGTGTTTGTCTAGAATAAAATAGGCTCATATATAGTACATATGTTATAGACCCATCTCTTCTCAAATCGACTTTTTGGAGATGCTCGTTATGAAACACCCTGTATGTCATATGTTGAGCTACTGAATGTGTCGTTTCCAGGAATTGCTAAAACCTACTGGTTTGATTGGTGTTTCAAATTGATGGTTGAAGTATTTGATTGGATACTGTTCCCACTCAGCCAATTAATTTAAAAAAATGCTCGCGGTCAATTGTTCCACACACATGTAGGCAAATCTTTATACGGAGATCCAACTGTATACGTTATCATCTACGTAAATATACCGTTTTGTAAGTTCATTGAACTTATACTGATCATGAAAACATTGAAATAATCAACATATTTATGTAATGACTCACTTTAAAGAATCATGACTCACTTTAAAGGATCGTTTTTATAATACACTACAACTACAAGGACACGGAAGCAAGCATTTTAATTATAATGTGCATAATCTACACGTGCAGATGACAGTGCATTCACAGTCTAGATGATGGAGCTTTTCTATAACGGGAATAGTTATGTTGCATTAAGTACAATTAAAAATTGATTTTAGTAAATATAATAGTTCGACATGACCCTTTAAACTATACGTATACGTATAAGTTGTACTTTCACTTATGTGCGAAATCTCTCTATTAAGAAAAGAGTTACTTAAATCCCTGCCAACACTAGTCGCTGATACGATTAAGCTACATTCACACCGACGGCGCTTTGATGGCACTTTAAAGCGGCTTGCAAAGCGGCACCAAAGCGTAACAATGCTTGATTAAAACGTCGGGGTCGTATCAGTAGCTAGGTCGTAGAAAAGCTCGGAGTAGAGCGAGAAATACGGCAAGAGCGCCAAAACATTTTAAACTGTTTAAAAAATTTGGGCGCTTTGTTACGAATTGATTAAAGCGCCGAGAGCGTATCAAAGCTTAACAAACCGTAACAAAGCTCAGCAAAACTTGACCCAAACCGTAGGAAAGCTTAACAGAGCTTGGGTCAAAGCGGGGACCCCAGTCTCCCCACGGTCTGTAACCACTTGACACGCTTCGTTAAGATGTCTCAAGCTTTGCTACGATCTGACACTCTTTGTTACGCTTTCATGAAGGACTCTCAAGCTTTCCAACGAATTGAGACGCTTTAATCAAGGATTGAAACGCTTTTTAGGCTTTGTTACGCTTTGACAAGCTTCCTAACGCTCTTTCACACTCTTTCACGCCGTGCGACAAACATCATGACTGTCTTTTTCAGATAGGTCATGCTCTGGTCCATCTGGAATTTCTGGATCTTGTTGTCCTGCCCTCATGTTCTCAAGTCAAAGATGCAATGGTTTTATTTAAAGCGTCATAATCGCATCAAAGCGTAATCATGCTCATCAAAGAGTGAGGAACCGTAACAAGTCGGGAAATCAGAGGCCTAATTCATGAAAGCTCCGCAAGCCAGCGCAATTCCGCAACTCACTAAAATGCGGACACGCAATGGGTCCGCAAATACACTACGGACCCGCAAGCTTGCGGATCTTTCATGAATTAGGCCTCAAAGCGTATCAGAGCTTATCAGAGCGTAACATTATTTAGGAGATCGTGATATTTTTGGAAAAGTAAACAAAAATGGTCCCCACCCTCAATCACTACGTTCTCAGGATAGGTCCGACCCTTGATGAAACAAGCTGAACTAGTTCAACAAATGAGCCAGGCCACGGGAAAGGGGGTCTTATCACAGTTTTTTCAATATTCTGATTTTTTTGTTTATCTTAAAGAGCACAAAAAGACCTTTCAAATGAGCCATGGCCCATGACTTTACACATTTTCCTTGCATATACCAAAACGTCAGATTTGAATTTAGCACATTTCCCTCTTAATACTGGGCACACTTTTGGCTCTGTAGCACAATTTTAATTTTTGTAATGAGACCGCCGGTTTTCCTATGGCCAGGCT